ATGTATTTTTTTGTGAATGAGTCTAATGGTAATACTGTCTCACAAAATAATTTATAGCTCTATGTAAGGAAAAATTTCATAACTAGTCCATTAATTTGATCTATTTAAATTTTAAATGGTAGTTTGCATTGACCTATCATTAAATTTAGTCCCTTTATTGTATTTTGACAACGAACGACAAAAACAAATATTGAGAGCACAACTAATCAAATTATTTTATTTTTTTGGGCAGTTTCACGGGGACAGTGAAAAATTATGGTGCTTAAGCCCGTGAAAAATTATTTTTTCGACTCAACCTTCTGCTTTCGTCTCGATTTTGCTCACCTTAGAGGACGGGTTATACCATTCGTAACCTTTAATTTTCTTCAAAACATAGAATTTCGTATATGGTTCGGTAGCCATGAAATTGCCAATCATAAGAGGTAAAATGGGAAACAAAGGACCGTGATTTGCATTTGCTTTAGTCTATGCCAATCATAAGAGGTAAAATGGGAAACAAAGGACCGTGATTTGCATTTGCTTTAGTCTATTATATTTTTTTTTTTTTTGTAGAGGGACATTTCGGTTTCCGAATCCACATGGAAACCGACTAATCCGGAATCGAGTCGGGTAGGACCACAAGAACGGCAAAGCTATACCTCAAGAGTTTTAACACTGCTGTATTTTCAGGGCTCGAACACGAGACCACTGGTTAAGCTAGAAGAGACTCAAGCCATCTCATCCAAACGCTCTTGAATTTAGTCTATTATATTTTAATGATATAAGATAGGTATATATCTTAGTTCAATCAATATTATATCAAGTTATCAACATCATTTACGTCAATTTTATATTTCTCAAACAAAACTTTATATAAGTTGTCAATCACATGCACGTTTTTTTAAAAATTAACAAATATAACGGGATCTTAAGCTAAAATCTTAAAAAATTTCCCATCTTTTCCGATAAACTGAAACTTATTTTATACTCCTTCCTATTTTTTTTAAATGTCATTCTAGCATTTTCAACTATTTGCCAAATAAATATCGTTTTGGATCTTTTGTACATATTTTTCCATTATTACTCTCATTTAGCCAATAAATACATTACGTCTTTTCACATTCACTCTTCACTTTTTCTCAAAATATTCATCTCTATCTTCATTAAATTAGGTTATTATTGACAAAAAAATTATTCTTAATTAGTGTGCAACTTCTCAAAACGACATATATTAAAAATAGGAGGTACCATTGGCGGATTTACACAGGGGCCCGTAGGGGCACGGGCCCCTGTTATTTTTTTTGTAATATGTATGTATATATATATATATATTATGTATAAATGTATTAATTAACATAAAAAATACATATTAATTATTAAGAAAAGTTATTTCAACATAAAAAAATAAAAAGAAATGTTTAGAATTATTTAACTTTTAATGGTATGTTATTTTTTTAACTTGTGGAATTTATACGTATGCTATTCTCAACTTCTTTTTTATTTCCTTTTTCTTCCTAAAATACATATAAAAACAATTATTGTACAAAAATGTATATACTATATAGAGATTGGATCAAATGTGTCAGTATTTTTAAAATGAGAATGTAAGATCCAAGCCTATCTATTAAATAAGAAACATAATGTCTGTTAAGATTTAATATTTTTATTTTATAATTGGTTAAATAATGATTTGACCGTTGACCTATGGCGTTTACTGTCGACCGTAATTTGTGCCCCCGTTGCCATTAAAGTCTGCGTCCGCCCCTGGAAGGTACTACTATATATCTTAATTTGTTTTACAAGATTTCAGTGTTTAATTTGTTTTACAAGATTTCAATGTTCGATCATAAGTCGACAGAAATTAATGTAATTTCATTGTTTCAATAAACACATCATAATCATAAGTACGAAAAAGTGTGCATATATTTGACTAACTTTTTCACTCATCGTTTATACGTTATGGTATCCTATGCTAACGTTATAATCTCTAGTTATTGCTTAACCAATAACCACGATAATAAATTTGGGCAAAAGTGTAATTATATGAAATAAAAATTAATTAATAAACGTAATATTGAGAATATAAATTCATTACAAACGAATGTTTTTTTTTTTAACATAAAATTTACACCTAATTTGAGATTATAATTTTGTAGGGAGATGTTACGGTCCCGTTACGTGACTATCTCGTCGGGGTCCCATTACATGATGGTCTAATGGTTATAAATTCTGACAGAATAATTGTAACCGGATCGTAGCATTTCCTAATTTTGTATTTGGGTACAACATTGAATTTTTCCCAAACAAATAGATATTTTTACATAAAGATTTCAATTAATTGGGGGGATTAGTGTATCTTCGTTTGACCCACAGAAGCTTCCCTCCTCAACTTTTTTTATTCACTTTTTTTGTCCTATCAAGAAAACTCTGAAAATATCAAAATACATGGTTTTGGAAAAATCATAAAAAAATAAATAAAAGGACGTTAAAAATCAATTTTTTTTTTTTCATTTTTGTGTTTAATAAATAATTATAATAATGTCACGCTGTATCACACTCCTCTCGAGAGTATACTGTTACGTATAGAGAGAGAAAATAACAGTGAGAATCCACGCACAAACTTAGACAGAGAAAGCTGGCCTTTAATGGCCACAGCGCACAGGCAGCGAGGAAAATGGCAAATAATTATTGAAAGATCGTATTTGGATCTGCTTCCTACTTCCTGTAATTCAATCGCCGGGTTGTTTTTTATTCAGTATCACGATCGTTGGGGGTGAAATTGGTTGAGCTTGACTCGGCATTGATCAACTGATAAATTGCTCGGCCGCTTGAATTTTACTCATTATTTTGGCTTTTTAGTAGCTTGAAAGCTCGAAATTGAGCGCCTGGCGTCTTGGTGGTACATCGGTCGTCGTTAGCCGTTGTTCCGGCGGTGGTCGCCGGAGCTCAGTTAAGTTTCCGGGAAGAGCTCCGGCGGTTTCGGGAGGAAAGGATCTGAGATAAATGTGGAATTGAAGGGCGAAGTTGTGAAAATGTTCAAGTCGGCGCGGTGGAGGAGCGAGAAAAACAAGGTCAAAGTTGTGTTCAAGCTGCAATTTCATGCAGCTAAGGTACTTTATCTCTCTTGCTGGGCGGACATGGAGATATAAGATATGGATACACACATTTTTTTTCGGTTTGCACCGATGGGACTTTTTCGCTTTAGAAACAGTTCAAATGCACAGAGTTTGAGTGTTTTGGAAGATACAAAAATGTTCTGTTCGGTCAATTTACAAATTTTTCCTCTTTTTTTTTTGGTGCATTTCAAAATTATCATCACTAGTTCTTTAGATTTTCAAAAACTGCAATTCTGAATCCTGAATTTCTCAAAATTAATTCACCAGCATTGAACTGATCGATCCCCATTTGGAAACATTTAGGTGCCAAAAGTTGGAGATGATGCGTTATTGGTATCGATTGTTCCTGCCGATGCCGGAAAGCCAACGGTAAAATCAGACAGGGCATTGCTTCGAGAAGGGAGTTGTTTCTGGGAGAATCCAGTTTACGAGTCCGTGAAATTCAACCGAGACCCGAAATCAGGGAAAATACTTGAGAGGATATACTATTTTGTTGTGGGGACGGTATGGAAAAGTGTAAATGGCCATATGAATTCAGTTATGCCTTGCTTTGCTGCCAAGTGATCTTTTTAAAAGCTAACTGCTAGTTTTTTGTGGTGGTGTGTTTTAGGGATCGTCTAAATCTGGAGTCATAGGGGAAGCTTCGATCGATTTCTCGAATTATGCCGAAGCAAACAAGGTCTCGATGGTGTCTCTTCCTCTCAAGTGTTCAAAACCTGAAGCTGTATTAAATGTATGCAGTAAATTTTTTCCTTTTGTTTTCGAAAATTCATATTGTTTGCTCGTGGAGATATTTGTATAGGTTAATTGGTAACCAGTTTGCACTGGATCCTGGTTCAGATCTTGGTTTTCTTTCTTTAGGCCATGCTAATTTTTCCTAAAACAATTTATACTTACAGGTGTCAATTCAGAGGATGATGGAATCTGTTGATCACACCAACAGGTGGTGGTAATTACTGATATTTATGTTTTTTCCTTTCAAGATCTACATTTGGTCATAGGCAGTGGTAACTTGAAGTTTTTGTACTTGCTCGCACAGGGAGGACGAAGACAATGAGAGCATAAAATCGGACTATAAAGATAGCAGCTTGAAGGCACAGATGGAAAATGGTGATGTAGATGAACCCATGAGGAGCAACTCTGACGTATTTCACTTTCACCTACCACTTTTATGATTTTTCTTTAAAGAAGTAAAACAAACTGCTGATGCCACGTGTCATATTAAAAACGGCGATTGGCGTCTAAAATACTTCTATGTGGGCCGTCTATTTTCATTTTTATTTACAAATTTAAGTTTTGTATCACAGATTGTGCCGTTTAATAAAACCGTTTCCAACATTGCGGTGCCGAACAGGCCCTGCCGTGGGTCCAGCGGGTCAGACATCACGATGTCGAGCTCAGAGAGCGACAACGTCCATCACGAGTGGCTTAGAAACACGGCCCTTGAGGCTGCAAGCACGGACAACGATTCCTTGAGTACCCCAAGAGAAAAAACCTTTTCAGGACTGCAACAAATGTTGTCCGATGAGCCCTCGGGTGTTGTGGTCGAAAAGCTGAAATCAGAAGTGGCAGCTTTATCTAGACAAGCCTCAATGTCTGATCTAGAGCTACAGACCCTCCGTAAGCAGATTGTAAAGGAAAGCAAAAGGGGACAGGACCTTTTTAAAGAGGTAGTTTGCTTGAAAAAGGAAAGGGATGCTCTGAGGGAAGAATGCGATAGGATAAAAATTGCAAAAAATAGAATCGACTCTGGAGGTGGGGACTCTTGGAAAATTGTGGAAGAACTCAGACAAGAACTGAACCATGCGAAGGAGATCAATTCAAATCTCCAAATTCAGCTCCAAAAAACTCAAGAATCAAATTCGGAACTAATTCTCGCAGTGCGCGATCTGGATGAGATGCTGGAGCAGAAAAACAAGGAAATACTGAGACTCGAGAGTGGGGCCAACAAAGAAATGGTGCTCACATGTCGACCAGATAACAGTAACGAGGATGACGATGAAGAACAGAAAGCTCTGGAGGAGCTCGTGAAGGAGCATGGCATTGTCAAGGAGGCGCATCTTCTGGAACAACAGATCCTTGAGATGCGAGACGAGTTGGAGACTTTCAAGAGGGACAAAGACGAACTGGAAATGCAGATGGAGCAGCTCGCACTTGATTATGAGATAGTGAAGCAGGAGAATCACGAGATGGCGTACAGGCTGGAGCAGAGCGAGATCCAGGAGCAGCTGAAAATGCAGTACGAGTGCTCGTCTTCGTACAATGCTGTCCAAGAGCTCGAGACCCAGGTAGAAAATCTCGAGAACGAACTAAAAATACAGACGAAAGAGTCGGAAAATGCGCAGAGAAAAATAAGTGAACTCGAAGCTCATGCGAAAAGTTTAGAGGAGGAGCTTGAGAAGCGGTTGCTCAGTTTTGAAGCTGATCTAGACGAGCTCATGCGCTCGAAAGTTGAGCAAGAGCAAAGAGCGATTAGAGCCGAGGAGACATTGAGGAGGACAAAGTTGCAGAATGCAAATACAGCCGAAAGGCTTCAGGAGGAGTTCAAAAGGCTTTATGTTGAGATGGTGTCCACGTTTGAAGCAAATGAGAGACTAGCCACTAAAGCTATGGCAGAAGCAAACGAGCACCGTTTACAAAAAATCCATTTGGAAGAAAGTATTAAGGAAGCTTATGAAGATCATAAATTAATTGAAGAACGTTATGAGGCTAAATTGGATGAACTTTCTGGACAAGTGGAATTGATGACGAACCAAATCATGCAGCTGCAGTCTGAAATTGAAGATAAATCTTTGCAGCTGGAAAATCAGAAAAGGCTTGAAAACGACTTCGAAAAGTGTACTACAAAGATTAAATTTCTGTTGGAGGAGTTAGAGAATAAGGGGACTCTGATGCGTGAGTTGGAACAAATGAGAGTGTCCGTTAAGGAAATGGAAATTCTTTTGAAACATGGTAATGATGAAAAGATTATGCTTGAGAAAAAGATTATGTCGGCAAAGAGTGATGCTGAAGAGCTGCAGAAGGAACTAAATAAAATGAAATGCATTGCGAAAGAAAAAGAACTAATGGTCGAGAAACTACAGGAGGAGCTCGTCTCTCTTCAATCACAGGTTACAGAACTAAAGCACACTGTATCTGAGGATGCACAGATGAAAGAAATATTGAGGAAACAGTTGGTTTTATTGAAAGGTGATATCAAGAAAAGGGATGATGCCCTGAATGTCATGGAGAAGAAGACTTGTGGAGGCTCCCCAGAGGTTGCGAATCTTAAGGAGAGACTTGAGTTTCTTGAGGTAAGTATGAAGGCTTCTTTGAGTGAGCTTATTCGTTTATTTTTGTATGCGTGGAATTATCTATTATAGATAGTTCAATCATCTGTTAGTATGAAGGTGTCAGGATCTAATATATATCACAAAAGTTACTTGTTAGGTACTAATTTTTTCTATGTTTTTCTCATTCTCTTTACCTCTGTCACTTTTGAATATATGTGTTTATTTTTATTGGGAAAGGAGGGATAGTGCGAGTACGTAAATGCTTCTGTAAGGAGTCGTAAATGCTTGATAGTGATGCTATAGACTATGGCTTGTTGTGTTTCTGTGGTAACAGAATCAGGTCAGGCTAAAGCAAAATGCTTTAGAAGCTTCCAATAATGCATTTCTAGAGAAGGAAAAGGAACTTAGTAATGAAATTGGAGATTTGGAAGCAAGACTTGAAGTGCTCAACCAAACCAGTATTGATTGCTCTGAAGATGAAGTCGTGGAGGTAAGTAAACATGCAGAGTGGCATGATCAACATGTTTCTCTAATCGGTGTATATTAGTAATGATCAGGCAGCTACTAGCTTTTATTCTATTTAGGATCAGTTTAAATATAAATGTTAATATCCTAATACTTGCAAATTGACGAGCAATGAATTTAGCAGTAATGTTGGGATAGTATGACCAGAATCTGTTATAGGATTTAATTTTGGGAAAAAATATTTTTCGCCCCAATACAAAGATACATTAAGTTTTTCACACCGCCCAATAAAAAGCTAAGTTATTCAGCCCGGAAAGTGCGAAGGTTATGCGAATGGACTGCATAACTGTCAGCATATTCATCGCACAATGCCTTCGCACTTTAACTTTTTTTCACCCCAGAAAGTGCGAAGGGATATGCGAATGCCTTCGCACTTTTAACTTTCGCACAATGTCATCACGCAATTGTCGCATATTCATCGCACAATGTCTTTCGCACTTTCTGGGGTGAAAAACTTAGCTTTTTATTGGGCTGTTTGAAAAACTTAGCAGGACTTCAAAACGGGTGAAAATAGCTATTTTCACTTTAATTTTTTACCACTAAAAACGAGTGTTTCCTCATACGAAACAGGTAGCTGCAGTCGAAGAGGACGATGACCCAAATTTTGGATCAAATGAAGAAGCAATCAGTTTTGATGACGATGCAACCAATCAGAAAACGTGTACAATGGTATCCTTTTGCGGGTATGGATCTAGTGATATTATAAGCCATGATAAGAAAAAAGTTGATCCTTCTAATATTACGCGCAATTTACAACTGCAGTGAAAATATTTTTTTTCGTGAGGAACTAAAACATTGCGCGGACAGCAATGGTGATCTTGACGAAGCTAAAGATGAAATGTCTTTACTGAAGGAGAGGAACAGATTGATGGAGGCAGAGCTGAAGGAGATGCAAGAGAGGTATTCGGAGATAAGTGTTAAGTTTGCGGAGGTCGAGGGCGAAAGGCAACAGCTTGTGATGAGAGTTCGTAACTTGAAGAATGCAAAGAAGAAACTGTAAAAAGATATGAAAACTTGTTCGACACAGTAAATAATATGCAATTAGCTTTGGTTGGTCCCTTGGGGGGTCACTTCAGGTTGAATTATTTTGACGAGTGTTTTCAAGTTTTCTATATATTTTTTTTTTTTTTTTCATTTTCTTTGAAGGTAATTGCAAAATTTGTCTATGTGAAAAAACAAAAAAAATAAAAAAATAAAAAAAGAAAAAGAAAAAATGTGGATGGTTTTCTTCATCTCAATGAATGTGTAAGCAAAATAGGAAAGAGTAAAAGCAATATGGCTGTTAATAGAGGCAAATTATATCGTGTGTATTTTGACCCTATCAGTTTAAGTAGAAGCCTAAGGATGGGGTTTAATTAATCCAGTTTTGCTATGGAGCAATTGGATGGCTCGACTTATAGAGTCAATCCACATTTATTCACTAATAATGTATTGCAATGTTTTTTACAATAAATACACTTTGTACATGTGTCAATACATTAAGTGGTGGATGACTCCATATAATTTTTGTTGATTAATATTAAATATCGACTGTTTAATCTAATGATGATATCTAAATTAGGTGCTAAGCATTAGATATCTAAATTAGGTGCTAAGGTTCCGTTACGGAATCATTCCTTCGGAGTTTTTAACCGTTAGATCATCATGTAACCGTCAGAGATAGTTGATCTAACGGTTACAAACCCTGACGGAATGGTGATGCGACCATCATTATAATCAATATTAGATTGAGGATATACATACACAATAATATATACAAATATTGAAGCATGTCATCATTTGGTTTAATCCCTCTGAAAATTATTTTATTACAAAAAAAGATTAGCTTATCTTAGCCACATATGTAGGATTAGTCATATATAGTATTGAAAATGCAAGCAGATATTATTTACTATTATTCGAGCACTTCATATTATTTTATTTTCGATCGCCATCACATAGGAACATGACCATTATATTTTTCTGTTTCAAAATTATTATGTTCTGATCAAGACAGCATTTATATATTAGTTCTTTATTAACTCGATATTAATGTGGTCCACTTATTATAAATGAAAACCTAATTCAGAAGATGGGGTTTTAGAAACATGGGTGTTGACTCTAATTTGCGACCACACAATTTTATATGTTTTTTTTTAACAAATACTTATGCTCTCAAATTTAAATTAAATATTTTAACCAAAAAAAAACAAATAAAAACATCACATTTAAAAAATATCAATATGAATGTGCTTAAAAAATATGATACGTCCATTTATTAACAGTTAATAAACAGTCTGATAGCAATATTTATTAGTGTTTAATTTACATAAAACTAAATGGTCGAGGCCGATTAGCGCATGAGAATTACATTTTCAATGTTAGACTAGCATTAAAAGTAAGTTGGATATTGAAAAGCACTCTATTAAATTTATACCACATGTAACTCTCAAGAGAGTTAAACACACTTCATAATTAATAATGAGTTGTAAGTTCTAACAATATCCTCTGGACTCAAAATCGACCTCGCCTAGGCGCTAGGTGCTATCCGGCCGCCTTCGATTTGCATAAATCGATTGAAATAATCAGTCATGCGGCTAGCCGGGGCCTAGACGGACCGATGCGCTCCTAGGCAGGCGCGGTGACAATTTTTAATTTTTAAAATTTTTTAAATAATAATTACATTATTTTATAATCGTGTTTCTATATAATATATTAATATTATTATTTGGACTAATTAGGTGTATTGATTTATTATATATTGAGATAATTTTATTTTATAGGTATTGAAAATAAACAAAACATGAGGGTGTTTATAAATTCGGTGTTCTAGAAGTCGCTAGACGCTCGGCCGGCGCCTAGGAATCAAGACTAAATACCTTATTTTTTATTTATTTTCACAGCCTACATAATAAAACTATCTCAACTTATAATATTAGTATATTATAAATAAAACATGATAACAAAATAATGTAATTAGTATTTTAAAAAAATTAAAAAATTTCCGTCGAATCCGCTTAGGAGCGCATAGGTTCGCATGGCCACCGAGCCCGCCAAGGAGCCGTCTGACTAATTTTTTCAGCCTATTTATGCAAATCGAAAGCGGCCGAGCACCGCCTAGCGCCTAGGCGACCGTCTAGACCGACTTTTAAAAGAGAGATTTAATCTTGATTTCTAGGCGCCGACTAAGTCCTACCTAGGCGCTAGACACTGATCGAACGTCTAGCGACTTCTACAACCATGACAATATCACTACAACGAATACCGTTTGGTTTGACCCGAGCCATGTCCTTGGCAATCGAATAGTTGGTTGCATATTAATTAAATAGCGCGACCCAATTGTTGGGTTTGAGTCCTGTGCTTATCTCCATGATAAATTTTTCTAGAAAACTATTTTTATTTGATTCTAAAAAGAATGCTCAATTGGGTTTAGACACCAGAAAATTAACTTGCCGTATATGTGGATATTATGTTGCGTTAGTGGTGGCCAGTCAGCGGGCCAAGGCCGAGCCACGGGCCTTCCAACACGACCCGTGACCGGCCCGCTAAGAACCAAGGGCCGGTTCTAAAAAAAAAAATTAACAATGTGGCCGCCGTCCGACCTGGCCCTGCAGGACGAAAATACAAAAAATGGAATCGGGACCGAACCGCGACCCTATGGGTCCGGTTCAACGAACCGGTTTTTAGGGAGCCCGGTTCGGGCCGGTTCGTGCCGGGCCGGTTCGTGCCGGGCCGGTTCAACCCGTGGACATGTCTATGTTGCGTGGGACAGTTATTTGATCATTTGATGTGTCATCTAAAATAGCTCGATTCGGCCACATCTTAGCCCGGCCTCATGAATATTAAATATTTAAATTAGCCTGAGAATTGAACGAATTTAGATTGTTCCAACGCATAATGGATGATATTCTAATTTTATCCAATTATCTGTGAAAAATCTACTAAATCTATATATATATTAAAAGCCAACCTATTTACCAAAAATAGTAACAAGAAAAGTCAACACACATTTAATGCATACCTTATTTGGAAATTTTTTACTATATGCATTAAATGCTTGCATATTTACATTTACTATCCAGATATGATCTTAAAGATTTTTTCCTTAAATAATTTATGCAATGATTTTACTGATATCCATTATGATTAATATTTGTCGAGTAATATTTTTTAACTTTTATTTAATTATATAAAACTAATATTTTTTTTAAAAAATAATATTATTTATCATTTAAAAGATAATGATCACATCATTAAATAATTTTATTGATGGTTAGATAATAAAATTATATTAGTTATTCTTTAAAATTTTTACTAAAATAAAAATCGGCTTAAGAAAAAAAAAATCTCATAACATCCGATAAGTAAAAAAAAAGTACGTAAAATATTTACTCAAATAAAAAAGACTTTATTTATTTATCTTATTCCATAATAACATCGATTTAGTCAAAACAAATACCATAATCGGTGAAGTCAAAAAATGTACGTAAAGCCTATTTATACTAAAAAAAGGCAGATTCAAAATTCCTTATCTAATTTCTGTTTAAAGCATTTTATTTAACATTTATTTATATGAAATATTGGATAGGATTGCTGGATCTGAGTCAATTTTGAAATCGCGTTGTTTGGTATGAGAGGATTATCCGCATCCTATATATGTCTAAAGCATATTATTTTAAATTATTTAATTAATTTATTAATATTAAATTTTTTTATCCATGATATCAGTTTAGTCAAAAAAAAATTGAACAAACAAATAAAAAATAAACGGAATTAATTACCTTCGACTTGTAAGAAATTTATGGGTGGACGTAAATATTTAACAATGTTGTTTCAAGTTCCTTAAATAATACTATAATAATGATGTTGAAATATAATTTGTTTTATGAGTGACGTAAATATTTGTTTAAAGTTCCTAAAATAATTTTTTTAAAAATTATGCTATTTAAAGTTCCTTAAATATTAATATATTTAAAGTATACACATGCTGTAATATATTAAAGTCAACACAATGTTGGAAGACTTTTGAATTATCTAAGTTAATTAATTTAAATATTTAATCCCATTAAATCTTCAATTCATGGAATATTTTTACTAATCCGTACGTGAGCATGTTGTTTTGTTATTGTAATCAACTTATACACTATTTTACTAATAAATTATTTAATATCTATGTACAAGGAGGTCTTTAATAATATATGATTTTTTTTTGTCAGATACTATTTTATTGTATAATTTTCCTGCGTACTATAAAACTTTTATTGAATATTGCATCTTATAATATAATATTCCCCGAAATATATCTCATGTCTCGCACCGGTCCCGTACTATATATATCCCGTACCTTTTTTTTATTAATTTATATAATTATAAGACTGGATAAATAACCTTAAAATTGTGCACCCCGTGCATCGCACGGGCTCTGTACTAGTATATAAGAATAAATAAAGGTGAGCGGAACCATTTGAATTCGCAATGTTCTGAAAATCGGACCAGACGGTCGGTTCGACGGATTTGACCTATAAAAAGTAATAAATTTACAACAAAATTGTCTATTAATCTCCTCTTATTACAAAAAGTAAATTCACATGTTTGTCCGTACATACATATATATATATATATAATATATCACAGCTTATTGTTGATCATGCTATAGACTGTAACAAGAGCCATGACAAGTGATTGGTCTGCCTGTGGCTCCACCGTCAGCCTCAGCACATCTTCTCCCAAACTAACTCCCATTAATGACTGCTTTTGTACAGCCTGCAAAACACACCGACAATTGATCACAACATTTTTACCAAAGCTTATAAGTTGAGCCTATTTTCTCTGTATAAACGATGTGGGACAACTCATAAGTGATAGTTTACCTCTGCAAGAAGGTGGCATGAGGAGTCTACAATTTTAAGTGCTGATTTTCCTTGTATTGACCCAATGATTTTGTATTCATCATTTTCCTCTCTGCACTTAAATGCGACTTTATAAGACATGTCTTTGCTCAAAATTGCTGAGTTTCTTCGCACTTGAAACCACGGCCTCCCATCGTTGTCCTTCGAGTTACCGTTCCACTTATAACCTTCCCAGCATCCCGAAATATGCATTTTCTGAGAGAAAAGTATAAAGGAATATAACATTCTGACATATCAAACAACATAAAAACAACTATTCAACTGCTCGTTCGTTTGAAAGCATTATATTTCACTGCAAAACGTACATTTTTTGTTACATAAATTACCTTTTTATTTATCGAGTACAAGACTTTGCCATTGGCATCCATGAGAAAAACTCGACTGCCGCATCGTTTTTGATAATTGTCGACCCGATAAACCACGTCGCCTTTGGTATTGAAAACGGTGCAGCCATTGCCGTGGAACACGAGCGATTTCATCCATACAGTGTACGTTTCTCTTTCGAACGAGTAATCACAATTAAAATTACTCGACTGATTATTATTATTTGGATATATTTTTGCCATTTATATAACACGCTATATATTTTTTTTTCTCTCTCTCTCTCCTTTTTTTTCGTACTATTATAGATGATAGTGATTATTCTAATAAGACCAGCCAGCCACAAAATTAAGCTCGAGAATTTATACTAAGAGCTAAACACATTTAAAAATATTATCCACAAAATGGGCATAAATGCAATTTGCATTAATCGGGATTAAAAGTTGTCTATACCGAAAGCTTATTGGGGATCACTAGTTTAATTAAATATATAAAATCGTCATTATCAAATAATGACTCCTTTCTCTCTCTCTCTCTCTTGCTTTAGTTGGTGGCTCGCCTTTTGTTGTGATTAGCTTAACCGCACTTGAGGCATAATGATAATTGATAATAAATTAATTAAGTCTCGCAAAACAAGCTATAATAAATCTAGGCAGGCATTTGTTTTGATGATGATGATGATGATATAAGAATATTTGTTGGTAGTGTTTATGACAATTATATAAGGGCAAGGGATGCAGCATCCATTGTTTACTAGGAAGCTTGTTTTTACTACTTTGTTCTTATATATCAACTTGAGGTTTATATCTAGCTAATTAAACAATGTTCAGTAAATAGTTAATTTACAACGAGCCAATATTGACTAAAATAGTAGTTTTTGATGAGATGTTATTTTTAATACGTAGCAATTTATAGAACACCCTTAGGTTTGGCTAAAAAATTGCGACTTTCGACCCTGGTGCCCGTACGTCGCCGTACTTCCCCGACAAGGAGTTCCCGCTATTGACTGCGAATATGCACCCCACCACGAAACATCCGAGAACTCGTAAACGGACTGGCTACGTTCTGGAACAGCAAACCCCTCTGCCCTCGTCTCCTCCTGCCCTAAATCAGCAAAACCCTAACCCTTTCACCCCGCCCAATGAACCCCCGGCCCATAGTGGTGCTCCCCCCTTGCGATGGACATTCCGGGACATGGTTAATCGACTCAAATCCCATGTGGATCTGAGTGCGGAGGAAGAAGGGGAGGAGGTGGAGAGGGATGAGGATGTCTCGGTCGACCTCTCTAGTCCGGTGCTGAACTTACAATTGCAAAACGATTCTTTGACCAGATCTGTCAAGAATGGAAAAGTGTGGTAGTGATTAAACCCTTTGACGACTCTATCACCATGGTTTTGCTGTACAACCGTTTGACAAAGATGTGGCCATTCATGGCAGGCTGTAATATGATGGATTTGGAAAACGGATTCTATCTCATTCACTTTGGTACACGTGAGGATGCGGAGCAAGTGCTCACGGGCGGCCCGTACGTGATTGGGAGGGGGGGATATTTGCATGTCCAGCCATGGAACCTTGAGTTTGATGCGACAAAAGAACAGATAACGTCTACTGTAGCGTGGATCCGTTTGCCCGGCATGCCGGCTCATCTCTATCATAAACAAATATTCCGAACTATTGGCCGGATTGTGGGGAAAGTTGTCAAGATAGACCAGCAAACGGCCGCTCGTACACATGGTAAATTTGCGATACTCGTGGTCCTAGTAGACATTACGAAGCCTCTTCGTACACACTTCACTATTAACAGTCGAGAACAACGGATAGTGTACGAGAACCTACCTAACATCTGTTTCCTTTGCGGCCGTATGGGACATTCGAGCCACGTGTGTCCTCATCAGTCCCACGACCCAGAACCGAGTGAAAAACCTGCTCCTCCATCGGCCGGAGGACAATCTGTGACGAAGACGACGCCGGAGAAGGATAGCGGGACCAGCCCTAGTTTGGCCCGTGGATGCAAGTCCCACAAAAAGTACGCCAACCGTATGCGCGTCGCGATAGGGCCCCGACGACTAAGCAACAACACGGGAGTACGCGACCGGGTTCTTGATTTGGTGTTTTGGAGAGTGAGGATATCCGGGAATCTTCCCTTCAGTTTGAGTTTGGTAGTAAGGCTAAGGAGGTCTAGGACGTCGTGAGTGCTCCACACAAAGGCAACGATGGGCCATCGGGAGCTACAGACTGGCGTTTGATTAAGAGCAAGGCGAAAGGCAAAGCTCCTGCCCAACACGAAAACCGACCACAAGTTAGGACCCATGTGACGAAGCTTGGACGCATGACAACCTGGATATTTCTATGACCGAGTCTCATGAGGAGGCATCTGGGCCATCTGATAATTTGCGAATCGAGAAGACCGTTGTCGAACCATCAACTCGTGCTTCCCCTATGACTCATGCAGCACAGATTCTCGTCGGCGCTGGGCTTGACCCGACCAAACACAGGGCTATAGTCGTTGAAGAAGAGAAACTCTGACCACATCCCTTAACCCCCTCAATTCAATTGACATGGATATCCTAGGCGATGCGGTCATGCTAGAAGGGGACCACACTGTCCGTATCCAAGAACCTTGGCCAGAGGAACCAACAACAGAAGGGGATGAGAGTCAGCCTATGCTCAGTGAGGGAACGTCGAGCTCGAGGGACCAGACCTCCACTTGATGTGCGCCTGTTAGATTTTATCTCTGAAATCTTTACCTTATGGATATATTAACTTGGAACGTTCAAGGAACGGGTTCAGCCGGTTTCCGGAGAGCCTTCTTAACTCTTATCCGGCAGCACAAGCCTGATGTGGTCGTTTTGTTTGAACCACGAATTAGTGGAGTTAACGCCGACGATTTCGTGAGATACAGTAAATTCGCGAACTCTTTTCGGGTGGAAGCCCGGGGGTTCTCTGGTGGCATATGGATTTTACGGAATGACGAGGTCTCTATTGAAGTGTTGGGGTACACCAGACAACTGGTCCATGTTCGGGCTTGCAAGAATGACGAGGCTTGTCTTGTATCTTTTATTTATGCGAGCCCAAACTTAGTTCTTCGGCACCAGCTGTGGAGTGACCTAGATAAATTGGATGGGGAAACGACAGATCATTGGCTTATCGGTGGCGATTTCAACTGCCTCCTGCACCGTTCGGAAAAGATGGGTGACTCTTCCAGTCATTGCAATGTTAGTAAGGAGTTCGCTGATTGGGTTTTTTCGCACAATATTCAGGAGGTGGCTACAGATGGTCACCTTTTCATATGGGTTCGGGAGGGAACAGTCAGGCGAGTTACGAAGAAGCTGGATAGATTTGTGGCGAATATGGCATGGATGGATAAGTATGAGACGAGTCGGGTCCGGTTGCTACCTAGAATCCAATCCGACCACTCGCCCCTCTTGTTGGGATTTGGTAGTGCGAGTTTCGTCCCCCAAGGAGTTAAGCCTTTCCGTTTTCTTGCGGCGTGGCTCCTTCACCCGGGGTTTACCGAAATGCTTCATACCTCGTGGAATCCAACCATTGGCTTTATCGATGCGGCTAAGAATTTTGCGGCTGATGCTAAGAAATGGAATTTTCAAGTATTTGGTAACATATTCCAACATAAGAAACGATTCTTAGCCCGGATTGGTGGAATCCAACGGAGTCGGCAACTGTACTTCTCAGCCCGCCTGAAGACTTTTGAGAGACAGCTACATGCGGAAATGGATGATGTCATACTGCAAGAGGAGCTGCTCCTATTCACAAATCGTCTCGTGATTGGATGCATCTGGGGGATCGAAATACTTCATACTACCATCGACATCTTAAAGTAAGGCGACGGAGGGGTAGAATTAAGGAGCTTGTGGATGATGAGAGGAATTTTGTTGCTGATCTGGTGCTTCTCCAGCAACTAGCCACGGAGTTTTTTAAGACCATCTATACAGAAAGTCCGGTTATCGCCATAGCCGAGCCACTATCTTACTTCTCTACAGTGTGCTCAGTGGATTCGGTGAAAGCCATCTCTGAGGCAATCTCTGTAGGAGAAGTTCTCTCAGCTCTCCACAACATGGGCTCATTAAAGGCCCATGGGCTAGACGGCTTGAACTCGCTTTTCTTTAAAATGAACTGGGTCACCGTAGGACCATCCGTGTTGGAATTTATTCGTCACATGTGGACCACCGAGGAAGTCCCTCGAGAGGTGAACCGTACTCTTCTCGTCTTGATCCCCAAGATTGAGAATGCGACTTCGATTCGGTATTTCCGGCCTATTAGCTTGTTCAACGTCATTTACAAGCTATTAACAAAGACTTTGGTGAACCAAATAAAAGACACCCTTCCTGGACTCATTCATCCCACACAAGTCAGCTTCGTTTCGGGACGAAACATTATAGATAATATTGTTGTCGCCCAAGAGCTGGTCCATTCCATGCGACGTAAGAAGGGTGTGACGGGCTATATGGTGGTTAAAGTTGACCTTGAAAAGGCCTATGATTACTTCAACTGGGCCTTTATTGAGGATACCCTTCGGCTAGCTGGTTACCCCGCTAGTATGATTACGGCCATCATGGCTTGTGTGCGGTCGGCTTCTATGAACTTTCTATGGAATGAGACGGTAGGAGAAGAGTTTCGCCATACCAGAGGGGTCCGACAGGGAGATCCCATATCTCCCTATATCTTCGTGTTGTGCATGGAGAGACTCGCCCAGCTTATTGATAAGGCGGTCGATAATTATGTATGGAGACCGATCTCAGTCGGCCGAGGAGCAGTCAGTGTCCCTTTCCTGATGTTCGCTGACGACCTTTTTCTCTTCGTAGAGGCTTCGGAAACTCAAGCCGGGGTTCTTAAGCGGACCCTCGACCTTTTTTGCCGCTCATCGAGTCTTAAAGTGAGCTCAGCTAAGATGCATGTATTTTTCTCAAGCAATGTGGCGCTTGCTGAGTAGCATCGTTTGGCAACTTTACTCTACTTCAAATGGACGAACAACTTGGGGAAATATCTAGGCGTTCCCGTCATGCACGGCTGTGTTGATAAATCTACCTTCGCCCATATTTTGGCTAAGGTGAAAACGAGACTAACCGGGTGGCGCATGAAGACACTATCTTTGGCTGGACGAGTGACCCTCACCCAATCCGTGCTCACCTCGATTCCTTAC